GGGCCGGCCCCACTGCCTGGGCAAGCCCATCCACCATGGCCAGGCCTGTCCCAGTCTCATTTGTCACATCCTGGCGCTGTGACCTCTCTCATCCTGGCCCCTTCCCGTGTGCTATGTACCCTCTTCCCACTGCAGCCTCGTGGCTCAAGCCATGGAATTTGCTTGAAACCGATGCCACCATTCCCTGGCAGCTCAGGGTTAAGAATGCTGCCAGGACGTGCCAAATCTAGACACTCATTAATTGATACTTTGGGTTTCCTTAGTCTCTTGTGTTAAGTCTTGTGTGCTATAACCTTTGTCCAGTATCCTGTTTATGCTGGGCACGAGATTAGACATAATTTTGCCTAACTACCTTATAACTTCATTTTATTTCTCATGGTGCCAATGAAGAGGCTACTCCCACTATTTATTCAGTCTAAATGTACTTCTACCTTATTCCTCCAGAGCAGATTATTTCCACTGGACTAGATTCAAATTAATTCCTGTTTTGGTGCTGTTTCCTGAGGTGCCCAGAGCATCTGATAATAAATGGTGCTTCTTATAGCACTTCTTACTGATTTGCTTTTTTTTTTTCCCAACATAAGAATATCATAACTGTAAATATTTTATTACTCTTATTATCAAGTTCTGCTTTGTTATTTTTCTACAGAGCCTCTCAAAAAACAAGCATGGCACAAAGGTACCTTGCTGGGAAAGTTGCCCACCAAAGAGAGCACAAACACAGTCCTGTCATCCTGGGGACTTTGTCAAACTATGCTGACCCATCCAACATAGAAAAACACTTGTTGAAAAACAGTGTTGAAAAACACTATCCTCCAATACTTCACCCTTAACAGAAAGCAAAAATTTATTATTTTCTAGTCCTAAATACAAAATCTTTGTGTATCCACTGCTTGCAGAGAATGATGGCCCAGAAATTTTTCAAATCACTGCACAGTAACCTTATACACTTCCTTCTTTGGGCTTTGTTCTACACTAACTGATTTTCAGATCAGGAAATCCCTCCAGAACTTTGTTGTTCTGGATGGGTTAGCACTTTCCGTCAGCAGCTCTCTTCTTAATTTTCCATTCTTGCTCTGAATATTAATTGTGGTCACATTCTACACTAAGTGCAGAACCGTAGTGTTATTCCACTCAAAACTCACAGCTATCTTACTCAGCAGGAACTGACTTTGAATGATTACAAGAAACACAGACTTTACAACTAGTCACTTTCACTATATAAGACTCTAGCTCTGCATATAAGTTGTGTTCAGACTGCCTTTGCACTTAGAGAATGTTTGGTTTCTGCACGCATTTCAGATTTATTTTTCTCTGTGTGTGTGTGTTTGTGTCAGGGTGTGTGTGTGCATGTGTGATATAAGGTAATCAATGATGGCTCTGTTTTAAGTGTGTGCAACAAATTTTCTGTTAACTGTCCCATTCCAGAGCACTGAGGATAGAAGCATTTGACCCAGACTTCCAGTTTGAAGCTCAGGCTTAGAGACCTCAAGTATACGCTTCCTGGCTGATCTCATTGCTCATATATTGAGCTCAGACTTGGCTGGAATCTGGAATTGGAAACCAAGGGAAGCACTTGCATCTTGCTTCTGCAGACAGTTTAGACTGGATGAGCTTAAGCCAAATGAAATTGCAAGCAACTCACATTCTGGCACAGTTTAATTAAGAAACTGAAGATGAAAAGATCCAACACAAATTCTCTCTGAGAAACTCTTGCCTTTTAGGCATAATTCCCAATTACAAACTGTGCAGCCCAGGGTTCAGGAACATGTGGGTTTAAAGACGTCTGCGTAGTTCTCACTGTTCTCTCCTGTTCTCACAGGAGAGCTTGTTTTCATAGGTGCAAACTGACATAAATTAAAATGATGTCATTTAGTCACTGTACTGAGTATGTCATTGATTCAAGGTTAGGTAGGGACAAAGGAAGCTGACTGTAAAAAATGAACAGTAGATTCCAATTCAATTGAATCAGACCCATAAATAATGTTACCATAAACTTTACTTCATACGAAGTTCTTAAAAATTTATCCACTCGTTCCTCCTTCCTTAATATCTGTATATTTTTCAACTTGTCCCATTGTGATGAAACCATTACTGGGTGTATACATGTACATACTTTTCTGTGTGTACATAAATATATCTCTTTGAAAAACCACTGGACTTACCCCCCAAAGATGGATCTAGCCTTGAAAAATCTTTTTTTTTTTTTCCTAGCTTGCTGTGAAACCTTTCAACTCCACATTAGGAAATACTGATTTATATACTTTTATATTTCTCAATCTCTCCAAGCAGGTAATTCTGTAAGATGGGAACAGCAGGATCCATCAAGAGATGACCCAGTCCAGCCCTCTGCCTAAAGGTAGGATTATTAATGTTTCTCTCATTTTTCACAGGTTGTTATCTAACCTGCACTTTCAGACCACTAACAATGCCAGTGAACGAGTCAGCCCTCCCTGATGTTTGAATTTTCTTCTTTCATATTTAACCTGAAACTTTCTTCCAGCGTGTGGGGCTCTGAGTTATCCTACAGACATGGGCATCACAGCATTTCCTTTTCCTTGTAAGAGCCTGTTATTGCATTATATTACTCTCATTCACATAATTTTCTAGATGACTTTAAATAACATTCAGTATTACTTCATTTTTCTAAAACTTCCTTGTTGCTCTCCATTCCAGGCGCCCTTCATCTAGGATATGCTCCTTGGAATGCAACAAAACTAAATGTAGATATGGAAGTTTATGAAGAATTAATGAACCTTATTTTTAGCCCTCTACTAAGAGTAGTAGTTCCGTATTCTTCTGATACCCAATGTATTTTCAGTTACATAAATACCTAGTTTGGAGTTTTACATCAGAACTGAATTATGAATAAATGCTACAGTTAGGTAAAATTGTGATTTTTAGCAGGGCTCTGAATCATATAGAATCTCAGAGTCAGACCAAGTAAGAATATTGCATTTACATTATATGATCAACCATAAACTTGAATTTAGATAGGGAAATGGAAATGCTATTGGCTTAATTAACTGTGCTGATTCTATCAATAATTCTGTGTATGTCTGCTTTCCTTCTACTAATACCTAAATACATCTTAGAATAGTATAAATTTGAAGGGTATGCGTAAAGATCAACTGGTCCAACTTCCCTGTCATAAGTAAGGATGTTTTCAACTAAATCCAGTTACTCAGAGCCCCATCCAACCTGGCCTTGAATGTTTCCAGGGATGGTCATCAACCAACTCTCTGAGCAACATGATCCAGCATTTCACAGCCCTCATTGCAAAAATGTCTTCCTCATATCTAGTCCAAATCTCCCCTCTTCTAGGTTAAAACACCTTGTCTTAGCACAAGTGACAAAATACTTGTCCCCTTTTTCCTTAAAGGCTCCCTCTTAGTACTGGAAGGCTGCTGTAAGGTCTTCCCAGTCTTCTCTGGACAGAACAAACTTTCATCTCTTAGCTTTTCCTCACTGGAGAGGTTCATCATTCCTCTGACTATTTTTGTGGTTCTCCTCTGGAGACATTGGCCAAGAGGTCAATGTCTTTTTTTGTGCTGAGGACCCCAGGGCTGGATGCAGCACTGCAGGAGGGGTCTCACCAGAGCAGGGCAGCAGAATCTCCTCCCTCACCCTGCTGGTGACATTGCTTTTGATGCAGCCCAGGACACAATTGGCTTTCTGGGCTGGATGTGCACATTTCTGGGGCATGTTCAGCCTCTTATCCACCAGAATCCCCAAAACCTTATCGTCAGAGCTGCCCTCCTTCTGTTCTTCCTGAAGTTTGTATCGATATTGGGATTTGCGCTGAATGAATATAAACTGCCTATAACACATGGAATAATCATTCATCAGTCCAATAATTCCATATCACCACTTAGTGCAGCAAAATGGGAAGCTCATCTACTTAATTGAAAACCTCTATCAATATTAATTTTATCCAAAAGTAAAAAAAAAAGTGTTATAAGATGAAAGTATATTCTGGAAATCATTTATCTGTAGTCTTTATGAGCCAACTATTTTCCTACACTTTCCCAATACAAAAGTGCTGATACTAATGATTTTTTCTCTTCTGAAAATCTTTCCTGAAGAAAACCCTTCAACATTCATCCATGTGTCATTCTGATGATGAAACAATTACATATTCAGTACAGTCTCCCCAATGAGGTTATACAAAAAAAGCCCTTATCAGTTTAAAGGCAGCAGAGAGTAGTGCATATATAAATCCTACTTTCTAAAACCTTTCCTGTCCAATAAAATACAGCTAGAAAAAGTATACTGTGGGGTGTCTTTTACACAGTGATGCAAGTAGGTGGGAGGCATAAAGCTGTTCCTGTTGCAAAGAGGGGAGAAGTGGTAGTGTAGCCAGCAATAATTAATGCATATCATAACTGATAAGTTATGGATAAGAGAGAAAATCAAGGGGAATCCAAGGAAAGTATTTTTGAATTCCTTGCAGCCCTCTCATGTTTCTTACAAAGCCCTGGCTTGCTGACTGTGGAGGAAAAGAAATGAGAATACTCTTTGTGTCTCTAAACCAAAGGAAATAAAGGCTTCATATGGAGGAACATTAATTTAATTTAGGCCCATTTTCACAGTTCCCAGATGAGAAGCAATGATGACCTCAGGGAGCCAGCAGTGCCCCCTTAGTTGTCTCTATGTTAGGTGTTTGAAATACAATGAAAATTAAAATTAGAAGATTACTTCCCACTTTAAAACACATATTGATTCTTTAAAAATATGAGCAAAATTAAAGATGAATTTAAGAAAATTACTTATGGCACAAAAAACACATTAGTATTGCCCAAATCATCATTTATGAAGAAAGGTGGTTATTTTGGTGGAGATGACAAATTACCCTTCCACAGGAGAAGGAAAAAAATAGTTTACAGTTCAAGCTGTAAAGTTATTAAACAAGATCTGACTGTACTAAGAAATGCACAATATATTAGAAAAGGCAATTTCTTAAATTAAATGACAAATCAGCAAGTGGATGAAGGACTGACCTTGGATCGGGGTGGTGCTCGGATGTACCATTTACAGTCTACTGCTTCAGTTTCAGAAGCTTTTCCTTCTTTAACAATTTGTACAGATTCCACAATTCCTTCAGGTCCTCCCATCTCAAACTCACAAACTGAATAACAAAACACCAGAAAAAATGAAACCTGAACAGCAAACAAAAATGTTTTCTACAGCAGAGTATAAAGGCCTCCAAGTCAGAAAAAAACCCAAAAACAACATACCAACCTGGCAATGGCTTCAAAACGCCAAGGTCCTTAAAGTCTGGATCTTAAAAATAGAGAAAGACAAAATTAGTTTTGCTCAATATCTAGGATGTTATGCTAATATGTTCAAATTTTATAATGCACTTTAGTTATATAATTATACATATACTGCTTGGAAATGGGAACTGTTTCAAAACTATGGCAACACAATAATTATTAGTGCAGAAATTATTGATACCATCATACCAAGTCATTTTTTCTGTTATGAAATCCTGCTTTTTTCTGTCTCTCTCTTTCAGAAGGGTATAAAAATATTTCTGCATACATTAGCAAGTGAGAACATCACATAGCTAACCACATGACATTTTAATACATCAGCGTAGTGAAAGAAGATATATTTACAGATCCATTCAGAATCTTTTTGCCTATTCTGCATTTTGAAAAATAACACTCAACTTAATTGGAGAAATCCAAACTTAATTCTGTGTTTATGAATACTTTGCCATCCCTACTGACCAAACGGAGACACTTTTTTTTCATCAGAGGCATCCTTTTGGTCTTATTGGAAAAAAATACCATAATAATTACCATTAGAAGTCATTGTAGGGACAAGTTAATAAGTCTAATATGTGTGCTATTTTCCATCAGATAAACATGATTATATTTACTATCTGAGAGGGCTTGTATCATGCCTTTAGAGTCAGGTGTAATACAGAGATGAAATGAGCTGGTCTTAGATGGATGTGCTTCAATAGACAACCATCCATATACAAATCATCATTTCACAAAATTTGGCTTAGTTTGAAGATACTGCCCAAAACCAGAAATATGGGAGGCTAAAGCAACTCAAAAAGTGATGTCTTAAAATAGACTGGTCTTATCTCGGAAATTTTTATCACTTGCACTGCTTTTCTACCTAAAATTAATGTTGTGCACTGTTTTCTCATTTACACATGAAACTGATGTTGTTTCAGAACTGGGTCAGTGTAGAAAGAATTATAAATACAAAAAATGAAGAGAAGCTTTGGAAGAAGGAGATGTGTCAAATGAAAAAAATTAAACTCACAATCAAGCCACAAAAACTGCTCTTTCCCTCTAGCCTTAGTCAATTAGGAACAGTAAGAATCATAACCAGATAATATAACAAAGTAGTTCAGTACTATATAAGCGAGATCAGCCATTTTAATCAGAACAGTCAAAATGTGTTGACTTCAAAAACTGGATTTGTAAGATCACTTTTTATATTGCCCCTCTATAACCAGGCTGCTGTTCTTCCCAAATTTCTTTTACAGTTGCACAATATAAATCATGAGTAAATATTTGTGAACTTACAGGACTGCAAATCTAGCTGAGTAGGTAATTAGTATTAATTGTTGCATATTTTTAGAGATCGGTAGATAGATATGATTACCAACAACACTAAAGGTAATAAGATATTTCAGCTAATGTACTTTAGATGCTGATATCTAGCTCTGAAAGTGAGATACTGAAAGGAAATCTACTTTTACTTATGATTTGAATTACCATTGCCATATCTCATGTAACTATTGTATTTCTTCCTTTTACTGAGTTTGCAAGGATTACTCTGATTTACTGAGAATACTCCACCATATTAGTAAAGTATATATGAGGAAAGAAAGCAAAAACTGTCTTGTCAGAATTTTCCCCATATGAGAGTTTTCATATAAAGCAATGTTAGTAGCAAGAATCCAGGCTGAAGTACAATCTAGACCATATAATTTGACCCACAAAACGGCTATGAAAGTATGTTATCATTTAACAATTCAGTAACATTGGAACAACACAAACAGAAATGCACAATCTGTTAACATTCTAGAAATATGATAGACCTGCTCAGCTTTAAAAAATAAATTTTTGCAAGTTCTCAACTTTCAAGAGTTTCAAGACTGAAAGGGAAATAAAATCTATGAAATCTGAGGTGATAATCCTTCATTAAATATTGCTATTATACCAATACTACTATAATAAAAACAGAATCTGTAAATAAGGTATTATCACGCATGCTTAAAATTCACCCATGTTTGAGCATATTTAACTAGCAAATATTTGCTTTTTAAATAGTGTCCCATTAAATGGATTAGATTTTAGAAGCTCCTATGTATGTAATTCAATCAAATTGTTATTCTCAGTCTGGCTGGGTCAAAACATTAATGTTATATAAACACTGACTGGCCAAATTTTCCAATAGATCAAAATCATGTTCCAGTGAGGAAAACACCCAAGACTGGATAATATGAAAAATAAGATGGATCACCTATAAGTAGAGGAAAAAAAAAAAAGAGGCAAAATAAGAAGTAATATGGAGTTGCAAGCGACAATCCAACAGAGGGTCATGAATTTTTTTAAGGGACATATAAGGAGAGGCTGATAGAGTTGGGATAGGTCAGTCTGGAGAAGGGAAGGGTCAGAGGTGATCCCACCAATGTGTACAAAACCTAATGGAGGGGCACAAAGAGAATGAAGTCCGGCTCTTTTCAGCGGTTTGCAGTGACAGAGCAAGATGCAATGAGCACACATTGAATCACAGGAGGTTCCATTTGAATATAGGAAACACTTCTCCAGTATGAGGTAACTCAGGACTACCAAGGTAGCCAAGAGGTTGTAGAGTCTCTATGCTTGGAGATATTCAAGGATATCCAAGGATATTCATTGCTGTCTAGACACGATCCTAGGCAAACATCTTGAGGTGACCCTGCTTGAAAAGGGGTTTGGACAAGTCAACCTCCAGAGATACCTTCTGAGACCAACCATTTTCTGATCCTCTGATTTTGCAATAACTAAACAATAGACTTGGTTAATAGTGAAATAGCCAATCAAAAGTCTAGACCTGTTCTCTGAGGTAGCAGCAGAAGTTAGACAAATCTCCATCACAATGCAGACTTGGTTTTGTGGAATTTACTCTTAGTTGCAGGAAGACATACAGGCCTGGTCTCAAAAAGCTCCACTAGGTCTTCATGGGAGGCTAACAAGACTTTGGATGCTAGCTTTGGAATCTATACTTTCCATGTAAACCATTCTACATATCTTTATTTATCATTTCACTGTTTCTATGCAGGAAGTCTGGCTCTTCTAAGCAGCTGGCAAACATGGAATTTAAAAGGAAAAACAGGAGGCCAATTGTAAGGAGTTAGGGTACCTGATTGCTCAAAAATCTTATGAAATGAAGAAAATTGTAAAGTAGAAAGGCATTGCACATCAACTGGATTAAGTCGTCAAAAAAAAAAAGTAAATGACCTTGTTTACAAGCGCACTGCAGCATCTTATGGGATTGCCCAGCTGAGGCATATCCACACAGAAATACATTTACCTACCCATGCATGCCTCATTCCATGTCACTTTCTTACACAGAAAGTGAAATTGTTTAAAATTATATTGCTTGAATAAATTCTGTAAGACATAGGAGAAATGCATAAAGTTCAAACTAATTACTAGCAACATGATGTTCTGCTGGTAAGTATTACTGCAAATCAATTTTAAAAGATCATATGTCAAATTAAAAATCCCACACTTACATAAAGATCATTCAACTTGTCTTCAAAGAGAGATGGCACAATACTTTTAAAAGTAATGTTGTAATACAGAAAAATTAGAGTATTTTTACTGTTAAAAAGGCAAAATTTCCAAGTATATCTCTCACATTTTATCTTTCCTTAGCTTTTCATGTAAAATTCATCTGGGCACTTCTTACCCAGAAAACTTCAAACCTGCTGCTTTCACTGATAAAAAATAATAGATATTTCACTCTGGAAGTCAAAAGATACAAGTCAAAATTTTAATATCTCTTTTAAAAAATGGAAGATTGAGTTTATGTGTTCCTGATCATATCTGGGCTACAGTATATTTAATTACACAATTTTATTTTTTTAATATCTGAAGTGAAATACATACAGTAAAGAACACGAGCAATTGCTGTACAGTTAAAAGTCAGGAGGAAGGAAGTGTGTAATACAAAATTCTGGTGCTGAATAACTTTTGAAGTATTTTTCTTTTTTCTTCCATAAATGAGATGTGGAGGAATTATTTGAACTATTTGAATAAACCATACACTACAAAGGGTTGATGTTTAAAACCTAAGGGGGTTTTTGCCATTTGTGAATACAAAAACCTCCTTAAATGGATACATACAGAAAGTAGTCACAATAGTTTGAAGCCGTATTTCCTAATCAGAAGTAGGGAAAGTGTCCACTTTCATTCAACAATCAGACAGCTGTAGATATATCTTTTCACTTCTCTGTCTCTGACTAGAAATAGGTATTCAACTCCTATCCATCAATATTTAAGTAATTTTAACACGTGCACATGCTTGTCTGTCGGATAACTTATTAGAGACCTGATTTGGCATGTAAATACTCATAGAAAAGTACAGAGAATTGCATTATACAGCAAGCCACTAGTTATTTATCTGTAAGTTTACTAAGCCAAGTTGTTCTACAGTGATTTCTGGGAACCTAAATCAGCCTTGTCCTCTTGGGGCTTGAGGCATAGTTCTCTATAAAAGCAGAGCTTGCACAGCTCATAACAGAAAAGTATGATTATTCTAAGGTATTTTATGTCATTGCCTCATAGTATTTGATGATAGAGTAAAAGAAATGGAAGAACATGGCCAAAAGATTTTAAAAACATAAAAATCTTCTCAAAGAATCACTAATATAATTCTAAAATATAAAATCATTTCTGTACACAAACTTTTTCTTTTTTGTGGTGTTGAAAGGAAATTTTGCTATTCTACTGGGGAGAGTAAAGAAAAAGTCGTAAGGAAAAAAATGAAGCTAAATTGCTATGCAAAACCCGATAAATTATTTCTTATTAGCCTAAAATGAAATTTGTTCTGATGGTTCCTCTCATATTTGAAGTCTTCTTGAAACTTCCATATATATTTCTATATTTGTACTAATGATACCAAAGGTGTTCAAAGAAAGCCTCTAGTTTGCTAGACACTGTGGAAAGTTATGTAGTAATTATAGCTGGCAATATTATGTGTTGTATTTGCTCTCTATTTTCTATGTTTTCTTTTTGAGGACAGTATTGTGATCAGTTGCAGCT